TTTTTTGCTCGTCATTAATTTCTAGTTGTAATTGGAGATGATGGACCATTCCATCTCCTTGGGACACCAGATGCGTGTCTATATCGTCAAAAAGATGCATATGTGTTTAGTTAGTTCGAGTCAAAATATTTAAATTCCATTTTTATTACATTTTGAAATCTCATTATCGTCTTTTGAATATTAAAGTAATCTCTCTTTTTTTTTTTTTTTCTTTAAGATTTTTCACTTTTGTGTAATTTTTTTCTTTTCTATATAATGCAGTTTAAAAGTATTAGTTATAATAATTAATAGATATTATTTTCTCTAATAACTTAATATTTTTGTACTTTTACTTTTTTATTTTTTTTATTTTTTGTAAATTTAAAATCAAGCCTTTTTAATTCAATTTTATTGCAACTTTAAATAGAGATTTGATAGCAATAAATAGAGAATTAAATTTTAAAAGTGCATCTACGAATTGGACGATTCATATGTCAGGCTATTGTATCTCACTTGATTCTATAATTAATACAGTTTTCTTTTTGTTTCAGGTGATCATCGTTGGATTTAACAACAAACCCTTGACATCTTTTTTCTATTTGAATTCCTGAAATTGTTTTATTTCTTAATATATGTATAATGGCATTTCTGAAGGCACACACTTATCTTTTCACTTAAAATTTAATACGTTCATTTAAAATTCTAGTATTTTTTGATAGTATTTTACCGTCATCACCTGAAGTATGTACTATCATCAAATGGTTTTCAGGTTAGTAATTAAGATTATTTTAATTATGCGTAATTACAATATCATTCGATATTTATTGTTTTAACTTACCTTGATTTTTTTTTTTTTTAAGATGGTTAGAAGAAAGTTTTGTTCCTTCCGATCATCCTCACCATCGAAAGAAAGTTGGAACAGAACACTTGAGGTACAATTTGAATCATATTTTTTTTACAATAATCTAAACCGTTTCTATTTATACATAATATAATAAGATCCAGAGGGTTTTTAAGAAAGTAAAAAACAAAGAAGTAGAATATTCAAACAATAATTCGTGTATAACTAGTTTATTCGTCCGTCATAGCTACGCTATGTCACAGATCTTTTTGTTGTTTTTTTTTTGGTTTTTCTTTTTTTGTGTATTATTTTCACGTTAGACGCGATCGTAATACGCATACAGGTATGATGTACCCATAGGATTTATTTAATTGTAAAGTTTACAGTTTCGTTTTATAGAAATAAAAAATATAATAGTACACAAGATAGGAAAAACAAGATGAAGAAGAAGGATTACATTGCTACGTATATCGTACAAGATAAATAAAAATGTTCGAAGGTTGATTCGTACGAAATCGAAATCGTCGATATATATATATATATATATATAATATATATAATAGAATCGTATCTACAAATTACTTTGCTAGAAAATAATCACGTTACTTCGTTTACATTATCTTATTAATTAATCATTTATTATAATTGAGCACCATCTGCAGGAGATGTCTGTGGTTCTTCTCGCCGTTCCCCTCGCGATAAAACTTAAATTTACGTTGTTTATTATTATTATTATAATTAATATTATTAATAACATTATTATTATTATTATTGTTATTATTATTTTTTATTATTTTAATCGATGTTTTCTTAATTTCTATTTTTATCATACATGGCGTTTTTTTTAAAACACGTAAGAGGCATACTCTGTAACACTCTACGATATGAGAGTTTACGTTTAAAAATAATCGATATTTAAAAAGAAAAAAAAAAATTCTTTTAAAATATACGTCGATGATATTTTTTTTCCGATACATTGAATGGTTATATATATATACTATATTTGTAAATTGGTCGATAAAATTATTTCCAAGTAATAGTATATTATCGAGAACACACGTTATCAGACTTGTTTTCTTAAAAAAAAAAAAAAAATATAAAAAAATAGTTAAAAAAATACAAAAGATTAAAATAAAATAATAATAGTTGGACATAGTTTAACATACATTTATTTATTAGATGTTTACGATAAAAGTGTTTAGAAAAAACCGAAGGAACTATAATTTTATCTGCATTCATATGCAATATGTATATTAAAACATAAAATTAGTATGGTATCGACATTAACGAGGATGTTGTATCATTTTTCGATAATTATCGTTAACCCTGTATGTCGATTGATTTTTTATTTATTTATTTATTTATTCTTTTTTTTTTGGCAGTTTGTATATACGTGTTTTCGCGAGTCTTTTGTCTCTCTCTCTCTCTCTCTCTCTCTCTTAATCTCTTTCTTCATTTGTTGTCATTCTGTTTGTTTATTTCGTGTTGTTATTTTAATCTTTCTATCGTAAGAAATATAAATGTGTTGGTAATACAGAGCATGCCTCAATTGAAATGTATGAAATTGCATAATTGCCCTAATTCGAGCAAATTAAGGATCCCTTGGCAAAAATGAACTAATAAGCGTAATTAGTTCGCCTCAGTCTTCCTATGTCGGACCGATTATAAACAACCGAAGGACCGAATATATTTATATGTGTGTTCGTGTATGTGTATATATTAAATATGTATTAATAATTGGCCATAATATTTGTGCAATTGCATTCGAAGTTATTTTTTTTTTTCACGTTAAGATAGCTAGAAGAAAAAAAACAAAACAAATTTCATGGTATTTTTATGCTTTCGATTAACTTTCACATGGATTCGTTTTATCATCGTTTTAGTCTTTGTTTTTTTTTTGGGTTGCTTTCTCTTTTTTTTTTTCAATACTTTTTCTTCTCTTCTCTTTTTAATACACGTTTTGGCAGTTCACCGTAATACTCGTGTAGAATTCTATTCGTTTGGTTTGTATGTACATAAATACATACATAGATACCTGTACTATTATTTACTTTGTATACCTTTGACATGGTGTCGTCGTGACTTTTTCGTTTGTTCATTTATTCGTTCGTTCTTTTCGTTTTATTCTTTCGTTTTTAATTTCTTTTTTTTTTTTTTTGCGAGAAAGTTAGATTAGAAATTAAACGGACCTCTATGCATATTATTCGTACGTATTTTACTTTGTCGGTATATTAGTATTGTAACATATGTTTTTTTTTCAATTAAATTCGTTCGTCGCGAAGAGTGTATCTTTAAAAGAAAAAAAAAAATGAAAATTCAAATAGTTTAAATATTTAGTCGCGATAAGAGAAATTCACAAGTGCATCTTCTTTTTTTTTTCTATCTTTCTTTCTCTCTCTCTCTCTCTTTTACATATACACATTCATCACGTTCGAAGATTTTACTTATTTAATTAATTAATTAATTAATTATTTAATTATATTTACACTTCATTTCGTATTTATCTTAACTCGATAATTATATTATTATCATTATCATTATCATCATCATCATTATATCTTTCGACGTTATCGAGTTAGTTTTACCTCTCGTGTTTTGACCACGTGTATTATTGTTATTAACAATCGTATTTCTTTTACAGTTTTTCTTTTTTTTTTTTTTTTCATTACGTAGCAATTAAACGAACATACGCGATTAAACTATACAGAATTTTTTAGATATACGAATATATCGATATATTATTATTATTAATATAGTATATTAATATTATTATTATATAATATCATTATTATTATTATTATTATTGTAATTGCATAATTTATAATTGTACAATAAAGGGATGGCTTCCTTGCCATATTTTAACATCGATACGACACATTCGATCGATCGATCATCGTCACGTGGATGATAAATATATCATCAATTCATTCATACAAACTCATTCATACATTTTTACGCGTATTTGGAAGAATTCACGTACGAATAAATTCGATAAATTTAAAATTTATCTCGATAAAGTATAATAAGATAATAATTATTATTTTAAATAATTGTGTACATGTATATATATTTTTTTCATTTTTTTTTGTATTGTTTTAAATAGTCAGTAGCAAATGTAAATTGCAAATGAAAAAACAGTCTATTCGTTTTCGAAGTAACCTTGATACTTTCCAAATCGCATTGCTTTTTTCTTTACGTATATATATATATATATTTTTTTTATTTCTTTACGCATTACGAATAGAATTTTACGTAAAGTTGTGTGCATTATTTAATATTAGATTTTTAAAAAAATTGTATTAACGTGATGGCAGTAATCATACAAAAATCATCTTTGTTTTTTTTTCTTTTTACCCTTCTCTATCATTTCATTATTTTTTTATTTTTTAATCTCTTTTTCGTTCTCACGTTTGCAAATATTTTTTTTATACTTGAATCCGCATACGTCGTCATACTCTCTTTTYCTTTCTTTCATTCTTTCAAATTGAATCGTGCGAACGATTAATTAAAAAGTGTCGTTCCCATACAACACCATTTACATTGAAAAAAAAAAAAAAAATTATTCTACTATATTATTTTACTATTATTATAATCCCGAGGGGATTGGGTTAATCGAATTTGATACCCGGGCCGAAGAATTATTTTATATTTTTTTCTTTTGTAATTTTTTTTTCCTTTTTTCTTTTTTTCTTTTTTCTTTTTCTTACGTATTTTTTTTTGTTTCCTAAAGAATGTGATGGAAGTTTTTATACGATGATTATTTTGTAATTATTATTATTCACATCGTCCCACGAAGAAGAAGATTCTTAGTCGAGTCTACGAATCTGGATCATACGTGTATGGTGAACTCCTGTCTCTCTTGTTCCTTTCTTTGTTGGTACCTGTATTGTAAAAATAAAAAGAGAAAATCTTTTTTTAAAAAGATAATCTTAAATCTTTTCCCATTCGTATAAATTCATTTTTATTAACGCAAATAAAAAAATAATATTGCGTGCACAATTAGCCACGTGTATCATAGGGGTTTGTTATTTTTGTTTGAAAGGATTCAGAATAAGGATTTATTGCAATATATATGTAAATTGGATTTAAACAAATGAAACATTAATTGGATCTCTTTCAAATAGTGTTTTTTTTTTGCACCCTTGATAATTGTTTATAATTTTTTATAAGAAAGAGAAACAGAAAGAAGAAGGAGAATCACCGATATCGTAGGAGGGGAAACTGTTCATGTTTTTGTTGTTGTTGTTTTTTTTTTTAAAACAACGCGGCGACGCAATTGACAAATACTTCATGTGAATTTGAATATTAGAGAGAGATAGAAAAAGAAAGAAAGAAAGAAAGAAAGAAAGAAAGAGAAAGAATTGACATCGTGTCCAGCTTACTACGGTCTACGGAGGTTCGTGTCGATACCTAGCGAGCATAGTTTCGACGGCTTCAATTGGGAGTCTACCCAAGCTGCCGCCATGGCGGGCCCCGACGGACAGGCCCTGCCAATCACGGTCACGCTCATGATCACGATCACGGTCACGATCGCACTCCACGTCGCTCAATTCACGGCTGTCGCTGAACCCGCTTGGCGGCAACAGCGTCATGTCCTCCACCGAACTACGCATAACAGATCAGAAAAAAAGGGGGGAAAAAATTGTGGAGAAAGTTCTGATAACTCGTAATGAATTTGTCCAAAAAAAAAAAAAAAAGAATTTTTAAATTATAATCCTTTTTTTGTAAGCAAAGAGAGAAAGAGAAAGAGAGAGAGAGAGAAACATAATTGGTAGTCGGTGGTGTTGTTCTTTACTATTTTCTTTTTGTTGTTGCATTTTTTTATTTTTTATTTAGTTATTTTTTTTTTTTTTTTGAGAGAGAGAGAATTTTTGATTGATGAATGACCAAAAATCTGCAACTGTATGCATGTACGAGAAATAAAACTCCAAGGCGGGGTGCAACGACATGAATATCTAATTTATTTGTGCTATTTTTTTGTTGTATTTTTTTATTCTTATTAACTTTGTTTTATTTTCTTTGTTTTGTAGATTTTGGAATTTTTGTCTTGTTTTTTTTTTTTTTAATCTACTTTCACATTAGCGCGTGTTTAGTAATGAAATGATGAATGAAAATGCGTATGCGTGAATGACGATTTTTCTTTATCCTCGAGACTGCCTGCACGTTTTTGAAAATCTTCAAATCATATTACTGTTCACTTTGTTCTAATTCTTTTTTCAAATTGTTTCACGATTAAAATGATAAAATGATTAATAACGTGCAGGTTGAGTCGAGGGTTAAGGCCGATGGGACCGTGTTTCGTTTTGATAAGGAAGACATGGAAAAATGATTGAGTTTCATTGACTTTTTCTTGTTTCATTGGAGGTTAAATTGAATAGGTTGATGATTAAACAAAAAATAAAAGAAAATAACGAATGAAATTTTTCCATATCTCCTTCGCATCGACATGAAACTTATGAGACCGTGAGATATTTAGGATCGCGTAGAGTCAGGAGTGAGTGCTAGTGGAAACAAACAAACCTTGGCTACCTGCGAGTGGACCGGCTCGGTTGTCGGCTTCGTCGTCTCGCTAGCGATGGTGAACCTTCGTTGTTAGATTCCGTGCTAGATTCCACCCCTCGTGAAAATACATCTGTATACATATTATTCGATAATTTGTCGTCATTATATTTCCTTTAGATTTGTCATGGTCTATTCAAAAAAAAAAAAAAAACAGAAAAACATTCTATTGTTAAAAATTACCTCTACAAGGTTTGACCGGTACTCTATAACTAGGTCCGGCGCATTCGCCGCAAGGGCTACCGGAAGTATCACTGCCGGAACCTTGTCGACTCGAACGTAGTTTGCTCTCTGCTTCGGCGATGCTCGGGAAGTATCGTTGTTTGTGCCACCTAGGAGTTTTGGACCTGTACGTGAAAGCAATACCAGAAGGAGGAACCAAAGAGAGAAAAAAAAGGGGCCAGAAGAAAGATAAAAAAAAATAAAACAGAAACAAAAAGAAAAAGAATAAGAAATACAGGAGTAGGAGGTGGAGAAGGTATGGGTTTGATTACCTTTCGAAATCTACGCTAGATCTTTCATAATCGATCCTATTAATGTCCTCGTTCTCAAGATGACCAAACGTTTTAAATTGCATGGTGTAATCTAACGTTGCTGTTGTAACCGAACGATTTTCTCTTCCTGGGACACTGAACGTTGCATACGGGCTGATTTCATACATTTCTATGGGAATAAGATATTATTGAATTATCATTTAGTTTGGTATATTATTCGATCAACGAAATTGTTTACCTGATCCATGATCATTTGATTTATGATTTTCTTGTTTCACCGGAGAACTCGTGTATACTTGATGATTACGTCTGTTGTCTCGTTCTGCTGTAGATTTTAGTTGAACCGTAGACATGCAACTCGATAGATGATGATGTTGTTGATGTTGTTGTTGTTGCACTAAACCAAGTCCAGTTTGTTGTTGTTGTTGTTGACCAGGTAGAATCTCCCCCAAATAATTAGTCCTACAATATCATAGTATTTATTATGCAATTGTTTTTCTTATTGAGATAGATTCATTGGCATTTACCTTCCGTTACGTTTGAGCATGACATATCCTAGAATGATAGCTGATATGATGAGGATGATTGCACAAACTAAAGGTACAACGACGTATAGTACTTTGTGATTCGGTATACTCTTCTTCACATCATCTTCCATGATCAAATCGTTCGGTGGTCCAATACTGACTCCACTTAACGTAGTTGTAGCAAATTCCATTTGAGTTTGCGTTGATCCGGCATCGTTATGTGCAGTTAAACGTAAACAATACCAAGAAGCAGTTTTTAAATCTCTTATTACAAGATTTTCTGTAGCTTTACTAGCTACTAGGATCCATGGTTCTGAGTTAATTCGTTTACGATATTCAACGGTGTAATATTGAATAGGACATCCTCCGTTTGGCCAAGATAATAAGTTCAGTCTTACAGAAGTACCATTTGCTGATATGATGTCTCGTTCTTTTGGTAGTAAAGGAGCTAAAATGAGAAATTTAGTGTAGAAAACTTTGTCAGATTTGTTGTATTTTTCATGAGATATTTTTTCGTACCAGTTCCTTTAGTTGTTGCACTTATCAATGAACTCGGATCTCCAGTTCCAACACGATTATGTGCAGTTAAATGAGCCAAATACGATGATCCACACTTTAAGCCGGTTAGTATGAATTCGGTTTGTTCAGGAGACAATGCGATTTCTTCCCAACCACCTTGATCTCTTTTATAACTCAACACGTATCCTATGAATGATGAATATACGTTTAATTTGATTTAGTTTATTTGATTTTTTGGTAGTTTAGGTGTTTCTTTTTTAAATGATACCTTGAATAGTAGCACCACCATTATCAGGATGAGTCCATCGAAGTCTTATGCTATTTGTTGTTGTATACTGAAGTTCCAAAGTCGGTGATCTCGGTGGCATGACCACTACCAATGTGTAAGTTACAGAATCTTCACCAAATTGATTCTTAGCAGAGCAAGTATAATTTCCAGCCACGGATTGTTCTAGTGCTAAAATTCCAAATGATTAACTTGTCGATTTTTTACAATTTATTGATACTGAGTTTATAAATTAATATTCTAATAACAAACCACATATATGGAGATGACCATCCGGTGTAAATTCGTAGTGTCTACCAGTTGATACTTGACCATTTCTATAAGTCCAAATTGGACGTGGTGTAGGATTGCCAACTATCAAACAGGATAAAGTGATCGATGATTTAACAGCTCTTCTTAATAGTTGCGAGAATGAAGCTACTCTTGCAGGTGCTCTGGTATTCGTAGTTTGCGTTACTATAGTTGTTGCTTCTCCTTCTCCAAGGCCAGTCGTTGCCGATACCCAAAATTCGTATAGCTGCCTAAAATGTATCAAAGGTTATATAAAAAATGATTTATTTGATTGTTCAAGTTTAATGATTTGCACCTTTCGGCTAGGCCACGTAATTCCATGGTCAGAGTATCCGTTGGTGATGATGGAGGTTCATGCATAGTATGAGTATTGTGATTACTGGAACCAGCTTCTCTGCTGTAGACAGTGTATTTGGAAACATTTCCGTTAGGTTGTAAAGGTGGTAACCATGATACCAGAATACTTTCTGCAGTTAGTGCTAAAGCTTTGATGCCTGCCGGTGGTCCAGGGACTGTTAATAGAAAAATATGTCAATTTCACGCGCGTACAATATTTTTATAATTAATATATTTTGTTTACCATCTTCTTCTGTCATGCAATAAATTGGTTGACTCAATACACCATCACCAGCTCCCGTATATGCAAGTACTCTGATAGAATAGTTTGTATATTTATACAAAGTGTGTAGATATGTTTCCACGCTTGATGTTCGTTTTACTTCACCCACCGTTGAGATATCCACTGAAGAAATAATATAATTCAATAATTTACGATTAGTTTCTCGAAGGTTTATATTTCAAAATCGCAATCACTCACTGTTGTCAGTAGGCACTGGTCTGTAATAAACTTTGTATCCTTGAATAATTCCACCATGTTGATGAGGTGGTGGTGCATTCCAAGATACTTTAACGGATTGAGAAGACAATGCAACACATGTAACTTGTGTAGGAGGTGTTTCTGGTACTATAATAAAAAGTTTTGTTAGATATTTCGATTTGTTTGATTTCTATTTTTATAAACATTTTAATTTGAATACTTTACCTCCTTCCTGAGTGGTTCCAACTATAGGCGCGCTACTCGGGCCACTTGCTATGCTATTGAAAGCCCTGATAGATACGTCATACTTGGTAAATTTTCTCAGACCAGTGAGCTGTACTTTCGTGGTTGCCCACCCATTCACCGTAAGGCTTTTGCTTTGATTTACACCCGATGTCGAGGATGAATGTTCCGACCAAGTTACTATGTAGCCCAAAAGGTCTCCGTTACATGATTCCTTAGGAGGTGGCTAGAAATATATCCCAAGATTAGAATACGTTTTTTTGTTTAAGTCAAGATTTATATAAGATTGAATACTTACTTGCCAGCTAACTGCAAGTTCTCCAGGTCCTGCCGATTGTACTTTGATGTTTTGTGGAGATTCAGTTGGTGCTATTACAAAAATTAATAATTATAATTATAGGGAATTAATTGTAATTATTTGTATCTTATTTTCCATACCTTCCTCTTGAGTCTTAGCTACCACAGGTTCAGTAGGAGCACTAGCATCGATAGAATTTATTGCAAATACACGAAAAGTATAAGTGACGGCTGGATGAAGGCCACCGACTAATGCTACCTCTTGATCGTCGCTTGTTGTTTCAAAAGGTGACAATCCTATCAAACGAGAAAGATAGAAGAAATGTTATAATAAAGATGATTATATTTAAATAGATCAACAGATACCATTTTGTGTTGGATGTATTGCATTGCTAGCAACGTTAGGATTTCCTGGCGAGTGTGTAACGTTGTGAGTTTTAGCAGGACTCCAATCATCGTTAATACCATGACTAAGAGATCTATATTGAATGACGTAATTTCTTATAGGATTATTTCCATCAAAAGCTTTTTTCCATAACAATCGTATTGATCTTGATCCTATTTCTATAACTTCAAGTGATGCAGGAGGATCGGGTCTTTCTGTTCGATAGATATAAATACATTTACATTTTGTTCTTTTACTAGAAAAATAATACATTTATTTATTTAAAGAACAAATATTACCTTGTACAGCTAGATAAATAAGATGTTCGCTTCTACCATACGCATTGCTAGCAGTACATCTATAAACACCAGAGTCTTGTCTATCGCTACTACCAATAGAAAGTTGAGATTTCAAACCATTATCAGTTTTAATTTGACTGATACTAAGCCTGTGACTATTCGTATCCAATCTATCGCTATTATGCATCCATTGAACTTCTATAGGATTGTCACCTATTACCGTGCAGTCTAATGTAACCGATTCACCACGACGAATTGTCACGTTTTTACTTTGAAATTCGAATCTTGCCGGTTCTGTGAACATTTTTAATGAGAAATATTTTTTCTTTTTTTTTTTTTATTAGTAAATATTAACTCACCGTGTACAGACACATAAATCACTTTGCTTAATCCGGATCCAATATCGTTGTTAGCACGACAAAGATAGTGACCCTCGTTTTCTGGTCCCGCAGACGCTGTCCATAAAGAACCATTAGATAATATTGTTAGCCTGCCATTGAGACCATCAACTAGGGGTTGATAATCGTTGGAAGTTCTGCCTCTGGCGCGAAGCCATGTGATGCGAGGTGGTGGGAAACCCTTGGCCTCGCAATGAACGTTCAACTGGTTGCCAAGAAGAGTTGCTACATCCTGTGGTTCGAAGATCCACTGTGGTGGAACTTTGACTAATAATTCCGCTGTGTGATTAGCTTTGTCTGCGCTGTTTGTTGCTACGCAAGTATACTTGCCACTATGGCGAGACGAAAGTTCTTTGAAGACTAATAGACTAAAGAATTCGGCACCTCTCTCTTCGATCTGAACGAATAGGAAACGTTTTGTTTATTTTTCAAATCATTTCGTTTAAGAATAATAAGATTTTATAGAATGTAGAATATTTAATTACTCGAAGAGATGAAGGTAAAGGTTCACCATCTTTTAACCAAGAAAAGTAAATAGGAAGATCACCGGATATGACGGTACACGTTACTTGAGCTCGACTACCTTCTTGTAAATTCGGAGGAAAATTGAAAGGACTCATAACCGGTGGACCTAGGAATAATATAACTCTATCAAATTTCTCATTTTAAATTGACTTATTTTAGAAATAATTTATTCTTTATTAGAAATGTTGTTTCAATTCGTTTTTAATACTTACTGCTGACAGTCAGTCGAATCTCTCTACTGGCAGTTTCTCCTGATCTAGCTCGTACTTTACATATATAAATTCCAGCATCGGGTGGATCAACGTTAACTATAGTTAAATGACCACTACTGTCTACGCGATGTCTTATGTCTAATGGCAGTTCAACATTTCCACGTGACCATTCGACCGTCGTGATTGGATATCCAGAATAGGGACAAGTTATAGTTGTGTCAAAACCAGCAATAGCACGTACAGGTCCGATCGATCGGATATAGGGTGGTCCTAAATTTAGCAAGTTCATACGATCGTTCAATAACCGTGTCATTTTTATTTTTGATACGATCAAGAGAACGGTTAGTTTAGTTTACCATAAATATTCAGTCTAGCCTCGTGTTTCACTTTTGCCAATGTGTTGGAAGCTACGCAAGCGTAAAGTCCACCGTCTTCCGTTCCAGTGGACGATATGTTTAGATGACTAATAACGTCTCCAGATTGATCGACATATTGGCCTATAGCATATCTATGACCAGCTGCAATTTCGCTTAATGGTTCACCATCGAGTAACCACGTAAAGGACGGTGGTGGTGAACCGGTTGCTGAACATCGTAAAGACACAGGTGGTCCTGGTCTTAGTGCTTGCTCGATGAAAGTGTATTGTAATTCTGGAAGCGTATCTATAAAAATGAAAATATCTTCGTAGATTATGGTTTTCTTTTTGTTGTTATTGAGACGTAAAATTCGGTCAGTTTGTTCCGATGATCGTACATACACACAAACACAGAGATGTACATACGTATACACATAACAACATACCTCCCAGTTTCAATTCTGCGGTTGCCTGAGCGTTTTCCTTGTCGCTCCTCACCAAACATTGATACATCCCTTTATCTCTACGGCCAACGGATCCTATCACGAGCACCATGGGAGCCAACAATCTGATTCTCGTGTCCTGCCCGGTCAATACCAGTACACCATCGTGCAGCCACTCAACGCTCTCAACCGGATAACCCTCGACCGTGCAGTTCATCGTCGCAGTTTCACCGGAATTGACGACCTGCAATAGACGACACGAGACGATACGATACAAGGAGGAATGTGATAGAACGAAAACGATTTAATTTTTTGTTCTTCTTTTAAAGTTCAACTTGTACTTGTTGGAATTAACGCGAGTTAACTGTATGCTTTATGGTAAAACGTTTTCGCGATGCTTCTCACGTTTGAACTGGGGAGAAAAGGAGTGTGAGAAAGTTCAGGGATTTCATTTGCTCGATGATTATCTATAGGGGTAGCTCGTTGAGAAAACTAGGAAAAGAAGGGGAGAAAATTGATCTTACGTGTTCGTTTTCTTTTTTGAATTTAATCAACGTCATAAAATCGTATTGAGTAAATGTTGAACAGAGGAAAAATCTATTTGACAATTTTTTATGATTACTTTTGTAAAGATAGTTAAATTAATGCTCAGATAAAAATGAAATTTACCTGAAGACGAGGCTGAATCCTAGCATTCAACTTGGACGTGACCGACAAATGCGTTTCCGCTCGTTGTTCGCCTAGTTGGTTATTCGCTCGGCAAATGTATCTTCCGGCATCCTGTGCGTCCACGCGACGAATTTGCATCAAATCACCCCAAAGTTGAATCCTATTGAACGATTCCACTGGTATAGGTTGTCCTGCAATAATAATAATAATAATTTTGCTATGTAAAACAATTTGAATTGAATCAATGAATTGACGAAAATTCCCTATTTTTATCATCTCATTGATTTTTCTATTAATTTGTTAATATTTTTATATTGAAATATCATAGATTATAATGTTGATTGAAATTAACGAGAAGCTTAGAGGATATAGGACAATGTATTAATTAACTTAATATAATATTAATTCGATAAATAATTTTGTAATGAAACAACCAACCGTTAACGTCGCGATACCAGGTAAATTGGGGTGGTGGGCTTCCCTGGGCAGAACAGGTTAGATGCACGTCCGATCCGCTCTCCGCGGAGATTGCAATTTGCGATCTTTGCATTAACCTCGGTGGCATGGATCCTGTGGGCTCTGAAAAGATATCGTGTCGTTATTAATTAAGAAAAAATAGCAAAGGGAAAAAGAAAAGAAAAGAAAAAAGTACACTTTAAAGTAGAAGTAATCGGATCTTCGATGTAATTAAAAGCAACGCTTATCTTTTTCAACTCTCTTTTACGAATGAACGGAACGAAAAGAAAAAAAAAAAAGAAGAAGAAAAATAAATTAGAAGAAAAAAACGAGAAACACGCGTTAATGAGAATTCAGGTAAAGCAAAGCAAAAACAAAGTTAGGAATTAAATTTTAAAGTATCTCGCGACATGTATCGTGATATATATATATACATATGTATATTCATATAGTATATAGTATTATATATTAATATACGTGTATATAGAAATGTATGGGAATCCGTTGCATGTCTCTCTCTCTCTTTTTTTTTTATATATTTTTTTTAGTATCTACTTATGTACGGTTGGTGAACGATTTTAACGAGTCGACGTAGCCATAAATGAAAGTAAATTAGCTTCATGCCGAGAGATACGAACCGATGACCGTCAAAGTGGCAGATTCGCTTCTTCTTCGTTCACCGGTCAAAGCGTGAAGGGTCAGACAGGAGTAAGTGACTCTACCGTCCTCAGGTCTGACTGCCCTTATGTGTAGATCACCTTGCGACGTTACCACGAATCTTCCACCTGAAACATCGTACAAATAATTTAATATCAAACGAACAAATTTATCATTAAACTTAAAAGATATCATTGAAATCATTGATAAAAATTATTATTATTATTATTCAATGTAAAATTTGGAACACACACATTTTTTAATTATCGTCAAAGTCACTTAACGAATATAATAAGAAATTAATAATAGTTTTTTTTTCCTCTTCTGGGCTAGGGCTAGGGGTAGGAGGAAAAGTCTATATAGGTGAGAATATATTTCGTTTACCCTTGGCGTTATCAAGGATCTAAAAGGTTATGCAAAATTGTCCGGGCATCTGTCGATGAAATCCCGTCAAATCACGGCTCGAACGTGTACCGTCAGGCGTGAAATTTTCAATTTAGCTCAGCCATCGGGCAGCAGCAGTAAACCCAGGGAAGGGGGTAGAGTAGTTGGATGCTCAATTCACCAAACCTTCTCTCTCTTTCTCTTTCTCTTTTTCTCTTTTGGTCGTTTCTGACCAGTCAGAGGAATGACCTCGAGGAAATTTCTTCTCATCACGCAACAACCATATGAAGTGAAGGTCGACGAAGGTCCCCCTTTCCTCTATCTTTTTTTCTCTCTCTCTTTCTCTCACTCTTTCTGATTCACAAACACAGATGAAGGGAATATACGTCGGGGGAATTTTCTAAAAAGAGGTTTCCTAGGTTCTAGCACGTTCAGGACTCTAACCAGCAAACGTTTGTCGTCGTCCTTTCAAATTGTTCGCAAACATCGTCCATCGTGGTAGAACCTAGCACCAGGTATACTTCTTGGTCCTTTCCTAGTGGCAATTCTAATCCGATGAAGGATCATCGTCCTGAATTGATACGGAAGATGATGGGAAGGAAAGGATGAGGTGAAGGAAAGAATATTATTTCTCGACTTTGTATAATAATATCTTTCTAAAGATAAAGATCTTTTTTTTTATTTTTTATTTTTATTTTATTATATCATTTTGAATTGATTAAGACAAACTTGGATAATCGATTAGAGAAAATAATATTAGGTCGTTCCAAAAATGTCTTCCTGTTTTTTTTTTTTTTGGTGATAAATTAAACAATATTTTATAACATTTTTTAATATTTTATAATATTACATAAATTTTTTGTTTATATTTTACGCTATTTTACTAAATAATATCGATTCTATTTTATATTGTACATTTTTCCATACTTTAAATAATTCAACCTATGAAAATATTGTGCCCGTAAAACTTTAAAAAAAAAAAAAAAAAGAAAAAACTTTTGGAACGACCTAATATCTCTTTTATTTTTATTTTTTTTTATTTTGCAACATTTCTTTTTTTAAACCACGACATTTTGATCATATTTAATAATATTACCTTAGAGATGATTTTTATTTTTATACAAGGTTTTTGTTTTTTATTTATTTATATCTATATCGTATATCATACTTCGAGAAAATATCTTTAAAAAACGTTTATCTCTCGAAGAAAAGAGAGAAAGAGAGAGAGAGAGAGAGATATATATACACATATATACATACACGTTTCAGTATTTACGGACTTCTATCTACAAGGATCTTACAGGATTCTCTTGGAATTCGTAAAATGTCAACGACATCGGTTTCCCCGCACGTGTAGTACAACGGGGGGGGGGAGGAGGAGGAGGAGGAGGAGAGGTTTTCCCTCGTGTTATATGAAAGTACAGGAATGTCTTCTGTAAAAAAAGAAAATAGGAAAAAGAATTTCGAAGAAGAAGAAATAGAAATCGAGAGAGAGAGAGAGAGAGAGAGGACGCACAATGTTGTTGAAGAAATAGAAAAAGAAACACAGAAAGATTAGATAGAACAGAAACTACCCCTTCTATTTCGATTCACCCCTGTAAACGAATTCAATACAAGCTTGTTATAATAGTAGTAGTAGTAGTAGTAGTAGTAGTGGTAGTAGAAAAGAAGAAGAAGCAATTTGATATCGCCTTCGCGAACGGAATAAAAATACGGAGATAAATAGCCCGTATTCTAGTAACTTGGTCCGTCTTTTTGCGGTATAAGTTGAGTGGTGAGTGTGTAGGGAAAGGAAAAGGGCTTCAGAATAACTTGGACTCGAGTATTAGGGTTGGTGGTGGTGAAATGTGAGGAGAGAGAGAGAAAGACACATAACTACGTGAATTTTTCGATCTCTTTCTTTTTTTTATACTTCTCTTATCTTTTTTTATATACCCTTTTTCCCTTTTCCAAATACACTTACATATGTACTTATGTATGTATGTATGTATGTATGTACGTAGGGTACATGTTGGTATTTGAAAATGTTCGAGAATCTACACTTTATCGACTACTTCCCTTCCGAACTTTTTCCTTTTCATTTCCTCATCCTTCCATTCCTCCCTACACACCCTTTTCCCCATCCCTGTTTCTATCTTACGACGACCACCACCCATCAACCCACCCACGACGACCCAGGACGATCAAATTTCTTGTTTCTTTCATCGAACTAGAAAACTTCTACTTTTGTTTGTATTTGTTTGTTTGTATGTTTTTCGTTCCACATAACTTTCTTGATATTTTCCAGAATATTTATTTACAAAATCATTTATATTTAATAATATTTTTATTTAATAATCGTGTAATATACACACACATTTATCGAATGTAAATTTTATTGCATTTTAAAGATTACATTTAAAAAATAACAAACTACTAAGTAAAAAACATAAATAATAATAATAATAAAAACAGCAACAAAGAAGAAGAAGAAGAATAAGAAATCTTATAAAATATCGTGTATTTTATGTAAACCCCCATAACATTGTCTTAGACAGGAGTCAAAAGGATTCTAATGAGATGCTTGATAAGGACTCAACAAAACTTTAGCTTTGATGAAAGACTATATGTTCTCTCTCTCTTTCTCTCTCTTTATCTCTATCTCTCTTTCTTTCTATCATATTCTCGTTGGAATCTCTCTGGACCAAGAGAGAATGCTGGATGATAACAGCAAGCATCCGTCGTCCTATGAGCTTGCTCATAGGTAGGGTAAGCAGCTGTCTTGCATTCTACATGCGTGTGTATTCTCTCTCTCTCTCTCTCTCTCTTTCTCTCTCTCTATCCTTCTCATTCTCTCCTTCTCTTTCTCTCTCTCTATGCAGCACCTAGTTAGGAAACAAACGTATCACGCCCCGACATACGAGGTGATTCTCTCTACGATAGCCCTTCTACCATATATATATATATAGGTATAATATATATATACATATGTATAACTGTATATATACCTGTTACGTGCAACCAAGCGGTATAAATATGTATGGGACATGAATGGCTGAACGCGTACAGGACGATCCAAATCGGATGGCGTCACGTGTGCGTGCATGCATACGTGCTTGCCTGCTTGCTTGCTTGCTTGCGTATTCCACGTGTGCGTGTATGCGTGTATGTAGGCTTGCGTTAGATTCAAGGTATCCTCTTGTAAAGCACCACTTTACCTCATTCTCGTTTCTAGCAAAGTCACTCACATCTTTTCTCCATTGCTTTATTCTTTTCGTATTTACACATACGTTAGTAAATAGGTATTTTTATAAACAACCTTTGTGTGTATCTTCTTCTTTGTTATTTTGCATTAGTAAGCTGATATTTATGTATATGTGTGTGTGTGTGTTTGTGTGTGTACAGAATGATATATAAATAGTATTTATAAATGTATATATACTTTGTAAAAGTGTGTTTAGTTTCTTTTTTAAAAGACGCATAAGTTCACTTCGATGGTACTTCAAAGAGTAGATGATAGAAAAGGTGAAATTTCGAATAGGGAAACAGAGAATGCAGAAAAGTGAGTGTTTCTCATGCATTAGCAAATGCACTAGATTTATCCTCTTATAGTTACACTTGTCTTTCTTTCTCTCTCTCTCTCTCTCTCTCTCTCTCTTTCTCTCGTTTTATAAGATAACACTCAGTTACTTTCTTTCTATGTGTTTCTTTCTCTTTCTTATTTGAAAAGGTACCGGACAATGTTGACATCTCATTGTGAACCGGATGCTACATCGTTCCAGAGTAAAGAGTTCTTCATTCTCTCTCTCTCTCTTTCTCTCTTTCTCTCTTTTATGCTTTCTCTTGCCTTTCATTCGAATTACGAATATATGCAGTATGCAGTATGCCAGTTTCTCGTTCGTTCATTCCTTCGTTTGGTGAGTGTTTGTATATTTTTGTGTGTATCTGTTTGTTCATGGAACGCACGTGTGTCAACGTTAAGGTGATGGAAATTCTGTTTTAGCAAAGTAGAATTCATTTCTCGGACGACTAAAAGTATGCTTTAATAAGCACGAGTAATTTAGCTCTAAGTCAGACTCTGTTACACAATTAAACCTACCTACCTACCTCTCTCTCTCTCTCTCTCTCTCTTTCACGTGTAAGAATTTCTCACAATATGTATATTATAATTATTATTATGTATATTTGTGTAGTTATGATACATGGTAAGCATATAGCTTTATTAGTATATGTTTTTTAGTGGTATCTCGTAATTGGTTGTTCGGTTTCGTACTAATTGTCGAAATTAGCTGGTAGAATTTGCAAGCCTAGCTATGCAAGTATATATATATATATATGTACTTATGTAAGCATATATTATACGTATGTTAATATATTATCTCTAGAAAATGTATAAATATGAATAAAACAGTTAATCATTTATTTTAATGATTGCATATAATCAGCAGCTTAATTATTAATTGCTGTAATACCTTTGAATATTATTTTCTATATTATTATTATTATTATTATTATTATTATTATTATTATTATTATTATTATTATTATAAAATATTGTTTAATTATATTCTTTTTTTTTTCGTAAGAAGAGATAAAACAATAAATAATATATCCAATTATAAGGAAAAGAAATTTATTCAAGTAGGGGAAAAGAAAAAGAATAGAAAAGATTAGAAAAGAAGATGAAAAACGATGAGAATGAGAGAATGTGTGTGAGAGTATGAAAGAGAGAGAGAGAGAGAAGAGTATTCGATAAATTCCATTGAAACTTTCATGAGGTCGTCGTGGATTGATAAATGGGAGTTACTTGGCAGTTACCGCGTTATCTTTCTACGATCATGATCTCATCCTTGACACGTTAATATGTTCCGTTGAGAGAAACAGAGAGAAATAGTGAAGAGAATGACAAAGAGAGAAAGAGTGTGTGTGTGTGTGTGTATATATATACATTGGCAAAAAGAATTCTCGACAGGAAAACACATCCATCTTCCTTCTCATTAAACTGTTACTCTCTCACAAAGCAAAATTGAGTTTACTGCATCCCCCTTTTCTTCCCCTACCAAAACGTAGGATAATTTGTGGCGAGCCAGACTCTGAAGTGGTGTAACACTTTGTTTTTGAAAATGTTCATAGATACGTACATACGTGTACAACATACACATGTACAGAGAGAGAGAGAGAGACAATTTTATACGTGTGTGTTTTCTATTATATGTGTTTTACATGAAAGTTGTTGGTGTTGTTGTTGTTTCACTTATCGATACTTGTGAGATACGAATTTTGGATTATTTTTTTTTTTTTCAATTACTTCTTCTTCTTCTTCTTTTGATATTTTTTGAAATGTATGCGTGTATAAAGTTTCGAATTATTTTATTTTTTTTTATTTGTTATATAAAGAGATGAAAGTTATAGAGGGCGAATTTGGTTATATATAAAAAACAAGAATATTATTTATTTATTAAAATACTTCTTTGTTTTTTAAATCTCATTTAATCTTATTAATCTCATTAATCTCATTTGTTCATATTTTAATCTCATGATTTTTTTTTAAATTAAAATGTTTCTGTTCTTTGTTTCAGACGAAGCAGACGAGAAAATTGGAAGTTTTCATCGTTTCATTTTCATTTTGTTTTGATAATCCTGAGGACAGTGTTGAAGAAGGAAGAATATTCTTTTTTTCAAAGAGGTATTTGCGACAAGTAGAATTTGATTTTTCGTATTTATCTCTTAACATTGTTTATTTCATTCGAGTTAATATTTTTCTATAACCATCGACATGTCTTATAAAGTAAAAATTCTTTTCTCAGTTGTATCATATTTTATTATATTATTTTTGTCTTTTTTTTTATTTTTTTTTTATGAGACATACGCGTGCATAAGCGATATCACCGTAATATTCGAAAGCGTCAAAACTTATCTGTATTTCGTATATATTCCCTCGTGTTTGTCCGTGCAATTTTCAATATTAAAAAACCTTCTCTCAGATGGATAGACGAATATATACGTGTGTACCTGTAGTAAGGTATTCCAATGTGAATAAGGTTTTTCCACCTCGATTTCAAATTTCCCATACTTTTATATTTTTTATTTTATTTTATTTAAAAAAATATTTACATATATATTTATGAGATTCTTTAAAAATAATAATAATAATAATAACTTAACGTATAGTATATTATACTATATTTACAGTATAATACGCGCTTAATATAATATATAAAATATAAATAAAACACTTAAATAAATTTTATTAAAAAATAAAAATTCACTATTTAAAAACAACAAACAAAGTCGTATAATTAATTATTCATAGAATAAAAATTTTTAATTTTTCCCTTAGAAAAAAAAAATACACAAATTCCAATCATCTCTAACACTGTAACAACATAATAAATCTACTCTTATCCAATTAAAATTAATAAAAAAAAAGTAATATCATACTTAACAACATTACAATAAACAAAAATTCGAATACCTCTAATCAATAACCTAAGTTTATAAACAATTTTCTAATTGTAATTTTTAATCAACAATTATTTTTTATTTAAGTTTTCCTTGTGTCCCTTTTTCGTACTTTCTTTTTCTTATTCTTTCAATAACTATAAACATTGCTAATAGTGACTTGATACAACCAACCAACCTATGTTGCATGACACGGAAGTGGCTTTATACTTTTAATCATAACCACCCCCGGAAATAGGTGCTCGACCCCGTTTCCGCTTTTTTAGCAAGCGAAGCACTCACCGTCAGCCGTCATTGCGAACTCTTTCACGGTCTTCTAACAAATGCGAAAATACGAAGTGTTACGTTTTATTTTTTTCTTTTTTTCTTGTTCTTCCTTTCTTTCTTTTTACAGGTATATACATTACATATATATACATATGTACGCATACGTGAAAACTACCTACTCTTTTCTTTTCTGTGTGTTTTTTTTTTTTTTTTTCTTATATATACATATGTACGCATACGTGAAAACTACCTACTCTTTTCTTTTCTGTGTGTTTTTTTTTTTTTTTTACTATTATTTTTCCCCCATCTTTGTCCACTTACCGTGCCACGTTTTCTCTTCATCTCTCGACACAACTAACTCAACGTAGCTTCGATACAAAGATATTCCCAAGCCTTTTTCTCTCTCTTTTTTACTTCCCCTATTTTACGTGGAAAATGTTTAAAAATATCTTTCCATCATGTTGAACTCTCTTCAATACGAGACATTCGGTAATGTAGTTTTTGATTACTAACAAATTTCAAACGTGTATTACGTTAAATATCCCACGTATATATATATATTGAGTTATTATGTTTGTAAAAAATCTCATAAGTATATATCTTCTTAATAAATATATAAATTACGTATCACGTTGATTGTCTGCAATGGACTCCTAAATTACTGAACTGATTTTAATAAAACTTTGCACACTGTGTGTAGTTTGATCCAATTTGAAAGATAGGATAGTTTATATCTCAATTTATAATCAAATTATTTGTTTATTAACAAAGAGATTGTGAGCCACAGCAACGCATGGCGGGGCACCCCTTATTTATTTTATATATTATACTTCGTATTTACTTTTCCTATAATACTAATACATATATATGCACATTGATATTATTTTATATATAAAAGATATTGTGTAAAATACTTACATAAGAATTTAAAGTCAGTCAATATCGTTCGTATTAAGTCTCAAGTCTTATTTTGAATCGTCGTTGAAATTTACTTTGTCCTTTTTCTACACCCTCCTTTATATTCTCACCACTACCATTACCATCACTATTTCCAATAACGTTTTCCACTTTGGTTCGTATAAGAACACGGTGGTTTTTCCCTTAAGACGTTTTTCTTTTCTTCGATTCGATACACTTTGAAAATTTCTTCCGCGAGTTTTTACACACATTTTCTGTTTATTTCTATCGTTCCACTAGCAAAAGTAGAAAAGTACGACACGTAACATTTGTGGTGTACACGTCGCTCACAGTCTCTTTTTCCTACGTTGGTTTATTCTTTTTTTTCTTTTTTTTTTCTTTCAGTGTCAATCTGTTTTTCGGTATTCGACATCGATGAAAACACAACCCCCGTTTTTCCATTCGTATTTCCATGAACGAGATCGAACATCATCGAAGTTGTAACAAACAGGTTGAGAAAAAAAAAACAAATAGAAAAATCCTTCCTTCATGTCTCAGAACTTTGAAATGTTTTATTTACAGTTTCTGTTTTTGCTTGTCTTTTTAAGGGTGGTTTAACAAAACGTCAAATTAGGTTTATCATTTAATATTTTATATCGTTAAATATACAAAGTTAGAGAATTGTTTGAATAATCATTGAGTGTTTGAATAAAAATATTCATATTATTATTATTTTTTTTTGATTAACTTTGTTCAATAAATTGTTTAATTATTATATTATTTTGTTTGTAATAATTTAATTTTTAAGTGTGAGTAAAAAGAAAAGTAAAAATATATAAGAAAGATTTTTAATCAAATTTTACATACACTTTGGTTGATTTTATTGAAGACAATATTAAATGGGGTTGTTTTTAGAAAACGATAAATATAAGAGTTGTTGTACAAGGGTGTATATTCGAGGGTGGCATCTCGATAAGTCACATGAAGGAATCTAATTGTCTATCTCACTTCTACTTGCTTGCATTCAACCTGAATGTCGTGTCTCGTTGTAGTTGCATGGGTATCATCAATATTACGTTTCTAGAGAATGTTCGTGACTTGTTTACGATTATTATATTGCACTACTATATATATATATATATATATTTTGATGAAAGGTGGCTGAGTTTGTATGATGAAGTCACGTGAATGATTTATCATTTACCGATGAATAAATAAATAAATGTATATTGAAAAAAAAAAATATTCTCGTGTAATTCCCATAAATTTATAAATCAAAATATATATATGTATATGTATATGTGTGTACTGTAAATATAAAAAAAAAAAGAATTAAAGGATAAGGGTTGAACGAGTGAAAGAAAAATATATTTTTTTTTTGGTTTGTGGTATTCTATTATTTTTTTTTTTTTATTATTTTTAAATGGAAAGCCAAAGTAAAAATAAGAATAAAAATAAAATAATAATCGTACTCTCTCTTTTTATTTTATTTATTTTTTTTTTCTGTATTGGTGTCTCTGTTTTTTTTTTTTTTTATTTATTTATTTGTGTTTGTTTTTCGTTGTTGAGAGTTTTCATTTTTCATTTGATACAATTTAGAATTTTCTAAGGAAAATAGTTTGATATTCTCATCTAAGTGTAACGAACCGTAGAAAAATCAGAATACCAGGTAGACAATGAATAAAAAAAAAAAAAAAAAAGAAAAAAAAGATAGAAAAAAGAGAAGGGTGAGGGGGATAAAAAGGACTTACCGGTGTCGGTGCTTCCGGGCAAAAGTATGGCGTCGTCTCGGAACCACGAAGTGACGGTAAGATGTTCTTTGATGTCCTCTCGTGCCGTACAAGATAGGACGGCGTTGCAACCCTCCACCACTGGCGATCTGTTTACTCTTACGTCATATCCGGAAACCGTAAGGACTGCAAACAAAAGAAACAACAACAAAAAATATTAAAGATAATAAAAGATTGAAGAAGTAGAATCAGAGATAGAAAATTGACATAGCAAATTGGATTATCATTGAAATCAAATCAAATTAATATTTAGATATTTTATTTTATTTTATTTCATTTAGATTATTTAAATATCAATGTATCACACGTGAAATGTCAAAACATAGAAAACAAAATTTAATAATAGTTTTACGTCAATTTATTTGTTTATAGAATGAGATTGAAATAGTTTCACCATGCATTTATGGTGCATCTAATTATAATGAGACACTTTTAATTTCATCGTATTACAAAAGAAGTTAAAAGAATATAACAAAATATTATTGAATTTTTATAAAACAATTTATCCAAATTAACATTGACATTTTACAATTCAAAAGTAATACGATTTTAAATTTATTAATATTTTATAAAAGAAAATAAAAAAAACAAAAAACGATCTAAAGGAGATAAGAAATAATAAATTCGAATAAAAGTATATATCGAGTAAAGAAAATCCTTAAGAGAACATATTTATGGGAAAACGGGTTTGTACAATGGAGAAAAATTTCACGGACTTCATAAAAACCGGTTTCTTTCCCATAGAAAACGTTAAGAAAGAAAAAGGAAAGTAGTTTCTCTTGTTAAACTATTTGAAAACATTTTATTCCTGACCACTTTTCCTTACGATGCTAGTGATGGTTGCACCCTCATCATCATTCTACCCCTCCCATCCCATAAACATCAACCACCTCTCTTTTCCGAATACTTTCACTTACGTTAACCAATAACTTTCTCATTCGTTCAATGAAATTTTCTCTTTATATTCTTTTATTTTCCTATGTATGTGTGTTTTTTTTTTAAATGGTGTATACCTTCTTTTTCTATTTTTTTATTTGTTTTTTTTTTTATTTTTTTAGTTTTGTTTAGTTTTATTTTTACGACAACGAGTGAGGGGTAAATTCACGAACGAGAAGAAAGTCTCTCGTCTCGTCTCGTCTCGTCTCATTTTCATCCCCCATTTCCTTCTCCCATATCTTTCTCGCTTTTACCCTGCTCTTCCTCTGTCTCCACCCCTTCATCCCCCGGCCCCTTCCTCTCTCTCTCTCTTCAACATCCTCGACTATATATGATCCGACGAAGCTTAATTTAAGAAAGCAACTACGAATGAAAAGTTAACGAGCGTGTTTATCATCGCATAAACGGCCCGTTCTATGCCACGAAAAGTTGACAAACAACGAGACAAGAATATTATTATTATTATATATATATATGTGAGATATAAACCAGAAAAAGAAAGATATAATATATGTAGATAAATGAAGAGAGAACGAGAGAAAGAAAGAGATAGAATATGTGAGTGTTTGGGTAGGTGGATATATAATAATAATAATAATAATAATTATAATAATAATATAGTTAGCCAACAAACAAACAAACAAACAAACAAACAAACAAACAAACAAACAAACAAACAACGGGATACTTGGTGCATTTTCACGCCACACAATCTCCCAAAGGTGTGGAAAGTAAACTCTCTTTTGAAACTGCAAAAGGTGACAAAGCTTATTATCTATCATAGTTGCAAGTGAATGATAATAATGCTTGTGTTTTTTTAAAAAAGTACAAATCTTTCAAATATCTTGAAGAAAATTAAAAAAAAAAAGAAGAAGATGATGATGATGATGATGATAATTTTCAAGTGCAATGATTCGCGAAAATATTTGAACAATTTATCGTAAAATAATTAATTAATTAGTTGTATTATATATTATAAAACATTATGTTTAATAATATAATGTCGATTGATTTGAAAAGAATGAAAAATGTTGAAAGTTTTATTATTAAATATTTATTATTATTATTATTATTATTATTATTAATATTATATTTAGTATTAAAGTATTTTATTATTACATTTATTTAATACTTCACAATTAAATGTTCAATTATTCTTCATTCAAATTCATTCAATGCACTACATAAATTCACATATTAAAATAACAAAGACACAAATGAGAAAGAAAAAAAAGTTACTAGAAAAAAAAAAAAAAAGAATATACTATAAAAGAATAAAAGAAAATTCGAACGTTATCGATCATCTTATAAATTGTCACCGATTTTCAACGATGAAGTAAGAGTAAAACGGTACTATTATCTATATCCCTAAGGGACCAAACGAGTTATACGGTGCTAAGGGAGAGGGAGAGGGAGAGGGAGAGGGAAAAGGGAATCCTCTCAACGAATTTCTAATCTTCGAAACAGCAAAACGACTTTTACCCGGGTTACACCAGAGAGCAAAATGATTTTTCACTAGGGGGTTGGTTCCCCCTTTTATATACACTGTGTACTACTATATATCGAAGCTTTTACCCCGAAGGAATCGAGAAAGACGATTTTTATCCGAAAATAGACGAGATAGAGAGGAAAAGTAGTGGAAGATGAAGGAGCCTTCAAGTTAAAGAAGAAAACGCGTTGGTGGGGTGAGGTAGAGGGAGGAAAAGGAAAAAGGACGTTGCCATACACACACATACACACACACACACACACACATACACATAGATATATATATATATATATGTCGAGCGAGTGAATAAGAGAGGTAAAAAAAAAAAATGAAAATGAGTAGAAAGTCTTGCACGTCGTCGTCTTTCCTTTCCCTCTCCCTCTCTCTACGACCACATGGGGGATGGGGATGAGGATGGGGATGAGGATGAGGGGTGGGTTAAAGTTAATTCCAACGATTTCTACGAATTCGCAGAAATATCGTTGCCGGTTCGGTGAATATCTTGCGCATATTGGCTTCATTTGCACATTTCGTTTCATCCCCTGAAGCTTTTCCCTCTCTCTCTCTTTCTCTCCCCCTCCCACTACTCTCTTCTTCACATTTATTTCCATACCACTCACACACGTTTCTTCTCGAACGAACAGCTTCCTGTCGTCGTCGTCGTCCTCGTCCTCATCCTCATCCTCGTCTTTTTCTGCTTCTTCTTCTTCTTCTTCTTCTTCAATTTTCCCCACCTTTACTCACAATTTCATCCTCGCTTACGTATTTCAAACTACCTACTTTGTACCAAGAGAAAGTGAGAGGGAGAGGGAGAGAGAGAGAGAGAGAGAGAGAGAGAGAGAGAGAGAGAGAGAGAGAGATAGGAACTTTCGTACGGTTACCGAAGGTCTCTCGAAAAGTTCCCAATTTTCAAAGACGTTCTGCCTGTACCAAAAAAAGAAAAAAAAGAAAAAAGGGCCAACCCCTAACCAGAGGATTCCTCCTATACGAATCGTTACAACCTGTAGTACGTACTCCAGCACAAGGGGTTAGAAAAGTAGATGAAAACGAAATAAAAAGAGAAAAAACAAATTAGAATCTCGTGTCCTTTTTATTCTATAAAAAAAAAAAAAGAATGAAACTTCTTTAATATTTTGATTCGCAAAATGTTAAAAAAAAATTAACAATCTCAAATGAATTGCAATTCGATTTTATAATAATTATCTTAAATGAAACTTTTTTTTTTTCACCTAATATACGTTCGATTCTTTACATTTTCTCTTTTAAATTAAACTGTCATCCTATTTTTCTCTCTCTCTCTCTTTCTCTTTTAATTTTTTTTTTGTTTCTTTCACTTAAAAAAGGGACAATGAAAGGACAAGGTTTTAGAATTACGAGGTCAATTTCGTACGGCACAACTTGAAATAAAGTCTATAGAAAAAGGGAGGAAGTTACTAGGAAAAAGAACTATGACTATACCTTGCATGTACTTTTCTACGTTCCCTACACACACACACATACATATATACTTATGCAGCAGACAGACACATCTTATTCGTGTAGAAAATTTCAACCTATATTTTATTTTCTATCTTTTACTAACATTAGTAAAAGAAAGAAAGAAAGAGAGAGAGAGAAAGTACTATACTTACAATATTATGCTGGTTCTTTCTACACTTCTTTTATTTTTCTTTCTATTTTTCTTTCCTATCTATTTCTCTCTCTCTCTCTCTCTCTCTTTTTATCTCTCTTTCTGTGTAAGGTTCCTCACACAAGTAAGTTTCCATCCAGTAGTCGTTCAGCTTATCAGGAAATCCATCTCTCGCTCTACCATCCAACGGTTGATTAAATTCAACCGGCCATACCCTTTATCCCTAGAGAATCTGCTGGCATGGCCGACTTCCGGTGAAGCCGTCGAGATTATACGTGACATCCTACTACTGGGACTTTATATCCTTTCTCTGTATATATGTATATATATGTGTGTGTGTACTCAAGTCCTCTTATTCTTATTCTTTCCTCTCGAACGAATCTTTTCTTACGAATATATTTATATATATATATTAACTTTTAGAGTGATATGGACGCATATATGCGTTTGTTAATATTAATGTAAAATATATATATATAATGTAATGTTTTTATTAATTAATTAAATTATATTGAGTAAGCAAAACTTTAAATTATATAAAAAATATGATTTATTTATTAGAATCTAATTAATAATAAATTATTTCGTATTTCGTACAAAACATTTTATTTAAAAGTATTTAATATTTTATTATATTTAATTTTTTTTTAATAAAATAAAAAATAATAATATAATATGTTTTTATATTATATCTTTTATAAAAAATTTTATAAAATATTTTATATATATATATAAATCCCTTTTATATAAAACTTATATTAAACTTATTCCTTAGTATATAAAAAATATCATATAATAATAATAAACTCTCCTGTTAAATACAGATTAAATTAAAATAATAATTAACAAATTCTATTAATGTTTCATTCTAATAAATTTTAAACGAATACTTTTAACAATTATAATATATTTTACATTATTATAACAATTTTATTAAATTTAATAACAATTATATTCAAACAATAATGATCATTTCCTCAAAGAAACATATCAAAATCACACGTATACCTAAAAAAAAAGATCTAATTCAATTTCTTTTTTTTTTTTTGGTTCAACATTCATCCCCCTCCT